AACAAAACAGCTCTCTTTTTGGCTTCTATCGTCACGTTGTTAGCTTCTAGGTAAAAGCTTAACCTATCTAGGTAATCCTGAATGATTTCATCATTCGAATCAAATTGCTTTATTTGGCCATACAGCGCCATTATTCTAGAAATAATTAGCCAATAAGCTCTAGCAAACCTCTTTTTTGCGTAAGTAGGTGCTCTTTCTAGTAGATCTTTATCCTCGTCGCCAAAATGTGATAGATTGTGAATTACACAACGGAGACAGAAGCCATCAACATGTAAACAGCTTTATTTGTTAACCGGAAAGGACGGAAGTACAATGCACAAGGGACATCACTCTAGATAACAATATAAATATATACTAATACAGAAGAGTGAGTTCCCTTGACCTCACAATTATCTCAATCTATTACAGGTAGGAAGTTCACCATCTTTACAGATCATAAACCATTGCTAGGTTTATTTGGAGAAAACAAAACCCTACCTGAGCATGCCTCACCAAGAATTCAAAGATGGGCTATCACACTAACTGCATACAATTATGAATTGAAATACAAACCTGGATCTGAGAATAGTGCAGATAGCCTTAGTAGATTACCTTTAAAAAACCAAAGCCTGAGCTATGTACCAGAAGATGTATTTGTGCTCTTCACTATCATGGATAACTCCAATATAAATGTGAATGATATTAAAAGAGAAACACAAAAAGGTGAGTGCTTAATAAAAGTATATGAGTACTGTAAGAATGGTTGGCCTGAAGAGTCTGTGAATGATGACTTAAGGCCATATTAAATAAGAAATAAAAACCTTTGTGAAGATAATATAAAAGATGGAGAAGATGCAGTCCATTATCAGTCAGAGTTGCCTAAACAAAGTATTTGTAACTTAATAAATGATTATGGTGTTATGGCAATTTCAAATGTTTTAAAGAGAATACATTAGTAAGAAGGAATGTGAGCATCAAACAACTTTGCTAACATCATTAGCACTTACAGAAACTAAAAGGGTAACATCAAAAGAAAAGAAAAAAAAGATTTTTGCCATTTAATACACCCATTTCAAATACTGGATCACAGTTGCAAAGTGATATGGTCCAGAATATTACTCATAAACAGTATTTTTGGTTACCAGGAAAGCACTATCAGATTACCTGAGAAAATTGATCAATCAAAGAAATCTATGTCAATTAAGGATCTGAATAATAGCATAATACTTTCAGATGCCAATTCAAAAATAGTTCCATTAAATCATGACAAACATTCATTGAAAGAGAATTTGGTGTTAATGAGAATGTGTATCTAAGAAACTATGGGAGAAAGGAAAAATGGATACCAGGTCAAATTGTTCAATGTACAGGACCTGTGCCTTATAAAGTTAAAAATAACTTGTGCAGATAATAAGTGTGAATCTGTCAATCCCACCAAATCTGATCAGTTCACACCAACTCAGTTTGTTCCACAACCAAGTTCTGTTGATATGAGTGAACCAAGTTGTCTGGAGTCAGAAAATGTAAATTCTGGAGTTAATGATTTAAATCCTAGACCTCCTGAGATAGAGAATCCAGATGGTCAGAATCTTGAGTCACCAAATCAAAAGCCACTGAGAAGGTCAAGCAGGACAATCAAAGTCCCAAATAAGTTAGACCTATGATTTTAAAGGTCAAAAGGACTTTGACATCATTGTTTTGTATCTTGATTATGTTGTAGCATATTGTGCATTGTTTGTAAGGATGTAATCTACCATAGTGTTCATGTTACAATATAATTGGTGATTTTAGGATACTATCAATTGTTCTATTGAGAGATGTGTTATTGTGTTCTAAGGGTAAAGGGATGTAATAGATTGAGATAATTGTGAGGTCAAGGGAACTCACTCTTCTTGTATTAGTTATATATTTATATTGTTATCTTGAGTGATGTCCCTTACATGTGTCTCTCGTCACTTCCGTCCTCTTGCTGTTACCGTCATGTAGTTAGACCCAATAAACGTTTTATATACAACCACATGCTTCTATCGTCAATCTATTATAATTATGAATTGATTGTTTATTGGGTTTAAAATGTAATATTTTATGAATGGTGGAAAACCTACGAAGGGCTTAATTTTTCAAGATGGCCGCCGTTGTCATAGTTACCAAGATTTTTTTCAATTTTTTTTCAGTGGAAATGCTTATGCGGATGTATCTTAATAAAGCTGTAAAGAAATAACTGTTTTCTAACGAGTATTAAAAAAGTTTTTTTTTTACCGGAGCCTTCCCCCTTAACATCAATAATCGGTAAAAATGTCCACTTGTACACTCCATGAATTGCTCAATGCACACTAATACACACTGAAATGACATGTAAACAAAATGTTAAATGCGTTTTGTGGTTAAACTATTAATCCTTCAAATATGTGAATTTAGGATTTGTTATAATTTTAACTAGAAGTGGTTTGAGTTGTGTTAGATTCGACTTGATCCTCACTCGCCAGTTATAAATCGTGATGAATGTGGTCAGAAAACGTGGATAAGCTATTGTTGTAGTCAGTGGCATAGCTACCGTAAAGCTAGCGTAAGCCCAAGGCAAATAGGGGCCCTTTTTCGAAAGTTTGAGGGGGGAGGGGTGCAAATCGGATGTCTGACGGGGGGTGCAAATCGAAAGTTTGTCCCCGGTCGCCGGGAAGGGTCGCTACGCCTCTGAGGGGCCCACTAACACTTTTTGCATAGGGGCCCAAAAATCCTAGCTACGCCACTGGTTGTACTAGTGAGTTGAGGGCAGCAAGTCAGAGTAGCAACGTCTTTATGCCATTTAACTCTAAGTTGAAAGAAACGACGAAAACCGAAGAGGCTGGAACATTATATTAGATTCTTTTAAATATTATATGTATACCGGAATTAAAGCCTACACACTTCATACTAAATATTTTTACGTTTGGTATAAATATTTCTATACATATACAATCTACGTACACGACATTACAGTTAATTAATCTAAGTTGATTTGTACTCAATGATTATTTAACACTTAAAAGTAATAACAAATTCCATGCAAATATATAATTGTGACTTTTTTTCATGTGACTTTTTTCCTACAACTGGAAAGTTTGCGCATAGATCATGAGTTCTTATGTTATTATTGAAGTCTATCTAAGACAGAAAATATTTAATTAGGCCAATACCTTACATCATGTGATCAGATAATACGCAATGCAGTAGATTTGTAAATAGAGCAAAAATTTAATGTGCAAAGCATTTAGGTTTGAATGTAAAACATTTTAAAATATACTAGACTACCCGTTATCTAGTTAGATAACTGTGGTTTCGGGGGTCATCCATAAATGACATCACGTCTGTCAGCACTTATCATCCCAAAATAACCAGACCCCACATTCAAAAAGACGTTTTTTATATTTTAAAAACTTTACTAAACTCTACTTCAGCTGCCCAGTATCCCGCCAAGACATGTTTGTATTTTAAAAAAAAAACGATTCTGGCCCAGCATGGCTCTGACCACACTATCCCTTCATATGCTGAGAACATAGAAACAGGTGAACTCTACTTCACCAGCCCTGTGCCCCGCGGGGTCCTGATAGTCAACTTTATCATTCACATCTAGGCCTTAAGAAAAAATAATTGAAAACATTGTTATAAAAATAAATCTTTTTTTACTATTAGTAAAGTCATTGTTCTAATCTTTTATAATTAACAGCTTTAAATTAGTTTGAAATTAACAGTGTTTTTAAGAAAGAACTATGTTCTTCATCCAAAATCCTATTTTACTGCTCTACACATAATGCAGATTCTCCCCAATAACAAATCAGACACACAAACAAAAAAATGAGTTATCAAACATGTAAACTTGAGTTTTAGTAGTATACTAGACTACCCGTCATCCGTTGGATCACAGTGAGTTTCGGGGGTCATCAATAAATAAACCGGGAGGGATCTCCCCTAAACTTTCTCGAATATTCTTATATAACACAACAGGGGATGGGAACTCGGGATATAGTTATGATTTTTAATCCATTTTAAATACATAAACTTTTTAAAATAAAATAGAATCTCAAAGAAAAAAGTATTGCACACCAAGTGAACGCCGAATAAAGATGTTCATAATGGTGCGCAATATTATTAGTACTTTATAAATTTAGATGCGTTTTTGAGAAATCGGAAATAGCGTAAATTACTACTTCCGGTCAACGGAAATTACTCAAAATTTAACAGAAGGTAGAGAATTAGATCTTTTACTTACACGTGAAATTTCATTTATCTATCTGAAATAGTACTCAAGTTATAGGCTTTTGAAAAATTCAAAGTAGAAAAAGTACCACTTCCGGTTATCAGAAATCGCTCAAAAGTTGATACAGATCTAGGATTTTGATAAAATATATAAAATTTCATCAACCTAGCTGTAACGTACTCAAGTTATCGTGTTTACACACGGACAGACAGACAGACAGACACACAGACAGAATTGCAAAGCCCAGTTTTTCAGACCTCTTAATTTTGATAAATCCGGATTGATAATTTTTGCCCGATTAAAATAAGTCCTCTATACTTCGGATGTGATAAAGGACTGAGGTGTAATACGGTGAAAATTGTTAAAATTTCAAGTGATTTTTGTGCACGATTACAATACTTTCTCTATACTTCGTATATACGAGAAAGTAAAAACATCACGTCTGTCACTTATAGTCACAAAAAACCAGACCCCACATTCAAAAAGATGTTTTTTTATCTTTTAAAAACACCGATTTACGGACCCTCTTCCACCCTAAGAGTGTGACGTCATTTATGGACGACCCCTTACATATCTGAAACCTTTCTCAAGTTATTGTGTTTCCACAGAAAGAAAATAACAATTCCAATAACCAGAAATCGTTCAAAAGTTGTCTAAAACCTGCGCATACAATCTGATACTCGTAAGTGAAATTTAATCTACTTACGTTAACCTGATGTCGCTCAAATGTTGACAGAAAACTGCAAACAATATGAAGTTTTGTCAACATAAGTGAAATGGTACTCAAGTTATTGTGTTTACTGGATCACACACAACACACCACCCACAACACCACAGACCCAAACACACCATACACACCACTGCTCTAAACTCTGTAAACAAGAAAGTAAAAAAATAAGTGTCTGGTCATTCTGGATTTATTTCAGTAGAGGTTTTTAAATTATCTTCAATGAAATATGAGGAATCAGTAATACATTTACTGCATTACATAAAAATTTTAAGGCTTCTCTCCCTGATGAATTCTAAGATGTGTATTAACATTACCAAAACAGGTAAAACATTTACCACATTAGTCACACTTATAGTAACTTATACGGCTTCTCTCCTGTATGATTTAAATGGTGTTGCTTTAAGTTATCAATCCGGTTAAAAAATTTACCACATTGGTCACACTTGTACGGCTTCTCTCCTGTATGAATTAAATGGTGTAGCTTTAAGCTACACGAATGGGTAAAACATTTACCACATTGGTCACATTTGTACGGCTTCTCTCCTGTATGAATTAAATGGTGTTGCTTTAAGCCACTAATCTGGGTAAAACATTTACCACATTGGTCACACTGGTACCGCTTCTCTCCTGTATGAGTTAAATGGTGTTGCTTTAAGTTAAATGATTGGGTAAAACATTTACCACATTGGTCACACTTGTAAAGCTTCTCTCCTGTATGATTTAAATGGTGTTGCTTTAAGTTCTTAAGGTGAGTAAAACATTTACCACATTGGTCACACTTGTACAGCTTCTCTCCTGTATGATTTAAATGGTGTTGCTTTAAGCTACACGAATGGGTAAAACATTTACCACATTGGTCACACTTGTACCGCTTCTCTCCTGTATGAATTAAATGGTGTTGCTTTAAGTTCCAAAGGTGAGTAAAACATTTACCACATTGGTCACACTTGTTTGGCTTCTCTCCTGTGTGAAGTAAATGGTGCTGCTTTAAGTTACTCAAATGGGTAAAACATTTACAACATATGCTACATGTGTAAAGCTTCTCTCCTGTATGAATTCTATGATGAGCATTCAAACTACCAACTTGGTTAAAATATTTACAACATATGCTGCATTTGTAAGGCTTCTCTCCTGTATGAATTATAATGTGCCTCCGTATTCGATCAAGAGTTGCAAAACCTTTACCACATTGGTCACACTTATAAAGCTTTTCTCCTGTATGAATTTTTAAGTGACTATATAGTTCAGTACGAGTTGTAAAACATTTCCAACATCGGCCACATTTGTAAGGCTTCTCTCCTGTATGAATTAGAACGTGCCTCCGTATTTGATCAAGAGTTGCAAAACATTTCCAACATTGGCCACATTTGTAAGGCTTTTCTCCTATATGATATAAAAGGTGTACTTTTAAATATTGGAGTCTTGTAAAATATTTACCACAATTGTCACACTTACAATGCTTTTTCCCTTTATGAATTCCATGGTGCTGATGAAAATTAGATAACTGATTAGAATGTTCACTAGTGTCAACTGTGAAATCTAGATTCTTATTGTCAAGGTTTTCCCCTTTATGTTTGTATTTCAAATGCAAATTATAATGGGAGAGTGTTGAAAAATCCAATCTGCAGTGCTGACATTGATAGATATCTGTAAAATATTTTCATAAATATATATGACAACATTAAAAGAATGTCTCAAAATGACATGGTGTGGCCAGATTATAGAGTGTATGACTGCTAACCAAAGTGTAAAGTGGGGTCAGTAGGATGTTCAGCTCGGATGGGTACCTAAAGGTTAACTTTTTAAATTTACTGTTTAAAAACTATACCAAGCAGAGCTAATTAACAGTATACTGGCAGAGAATGATATTTATTAGACATTTGCTTCACTATTATTTTGTATTGTCTGATAAAGTCTAGCATGAATTGTTAAAGTTATTGTCATGCGGCAGAACAAATAGATCTTTAAAGATATTAGTATTGTTAGATATCAGACATGTACGTACTGAAAAACAGTCAATTCAATAAAAATAAATGAGTAAACTTTATTTACCGCAGTCATTATTCACAACACCCATCCTCTGTACCTGAATACTTGGGTCACCATGGTACATCTGAAAATTTCAGAATACTAAACTGTACTAGTTAACTGTAACAAAAACATTCATTATAACAGATGGTGTGGTGTGGTAAAGCACTGCTAACCAAATCACAGTATTTTATTATACATGAATGGTCAATTTTTAAAAATTGCAACTATAGACACAAGTCTAAAAGCTAATAAACCTCTGAAAACATAATATACCACATTGTGTCATAAACACTTGAATGCTTATAAGTATAAGTCGAAAAACAAGAAGAAAAAAGAGCCCCACTTCACCCCTTGAAATAAATTTTTATCTGCCATTTTATTATATACTAGCCATCTGTACACGTTACACGTGAATTAAAGGCCTTTATATTTTAAATGTTGTATTTATTTGAGAAAAATAATTTGTAAAGTAGTTATTTGTAAAAACTCATTGTGCTTAAGCACACATTTAACGATATTAGTGACAAAGAAAGAAAATAATATAAAATAACATAGGCTACTTATCTATTTATCACTCTGAAATAAAAAATAGGGCTGAGGGTGTAATAAAATTAATACAATTATTTTCTTAATTTAAATTGCTGTTTTAATTATAAATCAGGTTTTGCTTTTCATTTTTTATTTAAAAGCTGAACAAAACTATATTGCTTAATAATTATTATGATTTTTATCACTACTTTCGGTCACTACCAATGGAATTTAAAAGATTTGCTTAGATTTATTATTTCATTTAGGTTTTTTTTCCAATACTTTAAGTTGGATTCATTTATTGTTTTGGTAGACATAAGTTTAAATGGATATGATATTATGTTTAGGTGGAGATTGGGTGAGTGTTATTAAATCTACAAATGATAAAAAAATAGGTTTGGTTTATCATACTGCTCCATTGAGATATTTGAGTCTAAAAAATAAGAAATGTAATTTGTGACATATTTTAATTAATCGATTGTGTGTAAACAACATGTTAATTACCAAATGTCATTTTTTACTCCCTTGTGTTTATTATAAAAATCTCAAACTTGAATTGATTAAGAATGTCTATTTGGTAATATTATTTATTATTTAATATTAAAATTTTCCGGGCAAACGACATTCGGGCAAGTGGCTTTCAGGCAAATGTCCATTCAGCCATTTTACGCATTCCGCAAGTGTCCATTCTTGAAATTAGCCTTCTGGTAAGTGCAATTTGGGAATTTATTGTAGACCCAACTATTCGGTACAGGTAGACAGCCCTGCATTTTACTTTATACTATTTTTTGTACTAATTCCCCTTTATTATTATACTTGACCAGCCAGAGATACAAGTATTAGAGACTAGGCAAGGGATATAATGCAGGTTGTGGTTATAATCAGTTATAATCTCAAAGCAGCAGTGGTATTTTACCTTTGAATCTGATTCAATCTTTAAAGGGACATGTTCAGTGCAGTATCCCGTGTATTCCATGTTGCCCACAGCATAAACTGAAACACAAACGTCAACCATTTAAACCACAGACTAGGTAGAATGTAGTTGCACAACAAAGTGACTTATCAAGTATTTTGCATACATATATCAATACTATTTAAAAAAATCAGATATCAATGTTTTGAGCTTTGTTAGTAGTGGTAAGATCTACTATCATTAACTGCTTTAAGCAAAAACAGAAGCTGCATCCTATTGGTTATATAGGCAAAGTAAAAGAGGCCTCTAATAAGTTGTGATAAATAACATCATAAAAAGTGACACTTACAGAATTATTGACACTCAGATGTAATAGTAAAACTTTTAAACTAGAGGAACTTAGGGGCATTTTGTGAATTTAATTTCATAATCAGTCTAAACGGCAGTCAATATATAAGCAACCACTAGTCAAGTACTATACTAGTCTGTCCCCTGTGCAGCCTACAGGTAGATAGCATTTTAACTTTTTTTAAAAATGGAACAATAATTTTTAAAAAGGTAAGCCAGGTTTAAATAGTAGTTAAATCATGTAGGCCCTAGGTCATATATCAAAAGACTAAAAGTACAGTTTACTGTTAGAATATCATTAGTCAGTATAAATCAACAGATAGACCTACTCAGTTACAAAAAGTACAAAGATAAAATAGTTACCATGTACAAAAAAACTTAAGAGAGATACTGATATGCATACACTTTAGAGTAAGTTTAGATGCATGTAGCGAGTAAATCTCTTCCTACATAGAGCATATGCATGTTTTGCTTCTTTCTCCAAAGAAAGCTAGACTACTGCCTAAAAATTTAGAAATTATAATTAACCTAATAATGCTGCATCTACTTTTGTTTCTGGTTGGACATTAAAAGACAAAGATTATTTTAAGTTCTTTAAAAATGTTTTTTTTTGTCTAAGGGAACAATAGGCTACAGTATAAAAGTTTAACAAATATCTCTCTGACTATAAGTTCAGTTTTCTTAGGATGACACAGAGTAGGATGGGTGTGTTGTCTTCATTCATTTTCCAACTAGATCTATATAGTTTTACACTTCTAGTAAAATTTGTACAAAAACATGAAACTATAAAAGATTTACATCAGAGTCTATTCCTAGCATTCAATGTGTAAGCTAACTCTTTAGGCTGACACTAACAGTTTTTTTCATTATGTTTCCACTTTTCATTTTTACACTTTATTCAATGTATTGGTAATTTGGTAATCTATTGTTTGTTACTTTCAGTTTTAGATAAATAAAGTAGCCTTTTAAACCTTACAGTCCAAAGGACAGGTTTAAGTAGAATTAACCTGTTTTTATCACCTCTGTATTTGAAGGAATAGTAAGGTCAGTACTAGATCTATGCCCAGTCGCCTTTACTTTCTCTAACATGCACCAGATACACATACACTAGCTAGTTGCACAAGTAAATAAAATATGACGTCACAGGCTTTAAACCTTTCGTGCACAATAAAATCTAATTCAAATGTAGTCGTTCGCATTGCTATGTTAACCGTTTAAAAAACGATAGAATGCAATTATGATTGCAATCATATATGCCCTCCTTATTAGCAGCGGTTATTGGCCGTTACCGCCGTATAATTTTTATTTCAACTTTTTACTTATTTTTGTTAATCTCATATTGAGTTTAAAAGGTGAGTTTTCAAAAATTTACATAAAATAGTCACACATTTAGACTAGCTCTGTTTTTAGTAGGATTATCTTCATTTTTTATTAAGCTTTCTAACAAGCATACTTATTTTAGGTTTATCCGTTTAGCAGACTATGCAATATGTCTCACAAACTAGGTACCCTATTAACGTTATCGATACCGCATTTTCATGTTTCTTTCGTTTTATAAGAATTATGTCACCAATTTTTATACATTTTTTTTCTTAAAGAATTACAATAATTAAACTAGTAAATGAGAGGATTCAAAGATAATAAATTAACCTTTTTAAAGTAGTAAAAATTGTGTGAATTGAGCTAATATGTTGCAGCCTGTACTACGTGCTACTAATGATTGAATTAGGTATACGATAACTCAACACAAAGTTGAAATTAACTTATACATATAATGATTTAAAACTAAAAATAATGACACTAGGTTCGATTTGAGTAAGACTATACGATTTTTAGTTTAATTTTTTAACTACGAAAATCATCTTTTTCGTAATGCATTATAGTAGAGGCTTAAATCTAAAAATCGAGAAAAACGGTATCGCTAATGATTTGTCGCTATATCCGTTAGTATTTTGACCAATTAAAATAAGAAAACATTCAGACTTAACTTGAATTTAGTGTGAGTCGGTACATTTTTACTGTTATTTTCACAAATGTTTTTACTTTCTTCTTCAGACGTTCACAAGCTGTAAAACCCGACTAACAAAATAGATACCGTAGGCTTAAGTATTAGCGATATTGATTCTACCTGTCTCCGCTTTCGTATTCCGTTATATTTGTTTTATATTATTAGGCCATTAGGTCTATTTAAAATGTAAAATAAAGATGTATCTAAGCTGTCGTAAACATTATAAGCCAAAGGTCAAAATTATTAATTGAATAGTGGTTAAATTCACCAAGTAGACTGTGCGGGATCCAAAAGCTTATTAATATAAGAAATATTAGTTAAAACACAACATTTTACGAGTGTGTTCATTCTATTGTAAAAAGCTGAATGTGTACACTGATAGTCTTCATTGATTTCATATCCCATTAGTTTATCTTGCTAAAGAATAAAATATACCCTTGTAAACAACAAAGGCCTATATTTATTTGCTTGATACCCACTCACACTCAAATAACGATTGTATGAGGATGGGGGAGGGAGACTTTCTGAGTTAAAGACCTTTGAGTCGGGTGCTAATTGAGTTGCTTTTGTTAAGTTAGTGTGATTGATTTTTTTCGAATACTACATCTAAAATGAAGTTGAAAGTATGTAAAGTATGGTTGATAAGTTAGCTATGTAGTACTGGGGTACCTTTTGCTTTTCTAAACGTGTTACGGAATTGAATATGCCTTTCATCGTCCACAAATAAAGGCACTCTTTTTTTTACACACATTCCCCTCCCCCATCCATAGCTTATCCTTATTGTTGTAAGACGTTTTTCCAGACCCGGTATCACCAAGATTTTGTTAAATGTTATCACAACTGGACAGTGTGGCCTAGTATGTAGTACGCCCGCTAACTAAATTGATGGATCGGTACCCGACCTGATGACCGTGGGTCATCCCACGACCAAGCTGTCCATCACGTTCAAAACCAGTTGGCAAGATGTCGTATTTAAAACTGGAGGCAAAAGCCGGACAGAAACCCTCGTGTCTAGCGTCTGTCTACGTAGCTGTGTAAAATGCTCGATTCTTGATAACGTTGCTGTTTGTTTCGCGCTAGCTATGTTCAGTTATCTAACGACACCCAAAGATTATCTCTTAACTGATATGCTTCCAATATGTCAAAAACACTCATATATGTTGCACTGTACTGAGCTGTCTCTATGATACCGTTTACCTAGGAATTAGGAATGTTTATTCTTTTTTACTCAGCCAGTTTCTTTTATTTTTATTTTTACTATTACTATGACGTTTGATTTAAACGATAGAATATATCCAGTGGTATATTTTTATTTAGATGTTTTTTAATAAACCACTTTTAAGTTAAATAATTTATTAATATCTTGGTAGAGATACTCATTTTTTTTTTAAAAATGCATTTAAAAATACTTATTTGAAAATTTTATAATTGTGCGCCTACGCAGAGTTATTTCCCTTTCGCCTTTTTTCTACGCTCTCGACGTGACCAATTTTTGCTTTCATTTTCCATAGGCTTAGTTGTCTCCGCAATACACTAAAACCGTCATATCTAGAGAACCGTTTATCCTATAAACATAAATTTGGTATCATTTTGCAACATTTAGTCCCCTTAATACAACCCCGTCGTTATTTTGTCATTTTAATTATTTTTAAAAAATGTGTGCAACTAGCTAACATACACGGATACAGACTCAAGCGAAGAATCCAAACTCAAGACATTCAGGTTAGCAGTTAAAACGCTCTCCCATTTGACCACATTTGCCATATTATTAATGTCTACCTAAGCTGCTTTTACAAATTTTAATATGATAGAGAAATCCTTACTTGGTATAACAAACTGAAACTGAACATTACAATTTTTGCCATTACATTTTGAAAATCCAGCCCCTACTTAGGTTTGGCTGTAAGCCCTACATATTTTTAGGTAGGCCAACATAAATTTAGCTAAAAGTGGACTAGTACTTGTAACATATTGGGATTTGTGAGGTCAGGGGAACTCACTCTTCTTGTATTAGTTATATTTATAATGTTGTTATTGAGTGATGTCCCTTGTATTTATCTATCATTGCTCCTCTTCCGTTTACCAAATAAAGATGGCTACATGCTGATGGCTTCTATCTCCGTTGTGTATTCCTAATCTATTATATCTGGCGACGAGGATAAATAATCCACTAGAAAGAGCACCTAGTTACGCAAAAAAGAGGTTTGCTAGAGCATATTGGCTAAGTATTTCTAGAATAATGGCGCTGTATGGCCAAATAAAAGAATTTGATTCGAATGTTGAAATCATTCAAGATTACCTAGATAGGTTAAGCTTTTACCTTGAAGCTAACGACGTGACGATAGAAGCCAAAAAGAGAGCTGTTTTGTTAACAGTCATAGGGCCTCAACAATTTAGGCTACTAAAGGACTTATGCGCACCAGCTAGTCTAACTACCAAGAGCTTTAACGAGCTGAGCAAATTGCTAACAGACCACCATGCGCCCGCACCATCAAAGTTCCTGTCTAGAGCTAGATTTGACGGTAGGACTCGTCAACCAAACGAGTCAATATCAGAATATGTTGCTGCTTTACGTCATTTAAGTAGATTCTGTGAATTTGGAGAAACGCTGTCTGACAGACTATGTGAAAAGTTTGTGACAGGTGTAAACAGCCCTGATATTCAAAGAAAGTTGCTGCTCGAGTCAGATCTAACATTAGAAAAAGCAATACAACTTGCAACTTCATTCCAGCAGTCATTTGATGCGGCCAGATCTCTAGCACCCTCAGAGATCCATGCAGTAAACAGCAGGTTAGTCAACAAACACCAACCCCCTCAGAGCATTTCAACTTATGCTAAACAGCCAGCACGTTCAAATCCTAGATCTAAATCTAGTAATAATTATCAAAAATGTCATCGATGCAAGGGTCCCCATGCATCTCATCGATGCAAGTTCAAGTCAGCTACTTGTTATAAGTGCAGTAAGCAAGGTCACATTGCCAAGGCCTGCTTTGCAAAGTCTTCGTCTGTTGCTAAATCTAGCCAGTCAAGACAGTACCGCAACCAAAAGCAGCACTATGTTAACTCTCACCAAGACTACCTAACCCAACCAATGAACCACTCTACCAGTGAAAATGCTCAAACTGATTCGCAGCCGGATTTCAACCTGTTCTCTGTGAAATCAATAAGTCATGCTCCCATCAATGTACCAGTTTATATCAACGGTAAGAGCATCAGCTTCCAACTTGACACTGGAGCATCTCTAACAGTCATCACAAAGAAGGACTTTGACGCTGTCACAGGAGGATCAGTGCCTCTACAACCATGTCACAAGTGTCTAACAACATACACTGGTGACAATGTTCCGGTA